CGTCCCTTCTGCTGAGACCCTCATCACCCAGCCCCTTCCATCTCCCGCCCCTCCTCAGTGCAGGCTCCACTCTGCCTGCCTGTCTTGTTTTGGTAGCGGAGGGCACCTCCCCTGTGTTGCCCTCGAGTCCTCCACACAGCTTTCCAGACCACCTGGTATTGTGCAGTCAAGCCCCCGATTCTACTAAGAACTGCTTCCATCTAGATCTTTGGATTCCGTGATTCTCTCTCTCCCTTTATACCTGTTATAGAACAGCCAGCAAGAGGGGGAGCAGGAGGCATTTGTTGAGGGCTGGACTCTGGCTCAGAAGGGGTGTTCTCACCTCGGTGCTGGTGCAGAGACGCCTGACAGCTGCTCCTTCCCCCCACCCTCAGCCTTCCAAGTGTGGCAGGGGTCACAGTCTTCACCATCTGCCAAGTCCAGCAGAAAGTAGAGCATGGAGGGCATTTGGGGCCCTCTGGGCAGAGGATGTCACCTGGGTGGAGGCATCTGTGTTGCCCGCAACCGGACTTTCATGAGACATCCCCCCTCACTGCCTCCCCTCTGAGACACACACGCTCAGAGCCAGATGGTTTGAATCCAAGTTTGGTGTCCAGTGGTTTAGACTTCACACTCTTCTAGCCCTCATATCTAAGGATCCTATGCTGTGTACTGTGGAACATCCTCAGCAGGGTCAGGGGAGTACCCCAGGATCCTATGTTACCATCTCGCCAGCCAAGTACCTGTGCAACTGCAGCACACAGGTGATGCTAAAGATGTGTGTGGCTCATGCAGGTCTGAGTGAGGCTTTCCTTAGGTCAGATGATGCAGAGACCTCTGGGATCTCCGCAGGGTCCAGTGCATGCTCACAGGCCCTTCTGTGACCCTGCTGGTGAGGGGTGGCTGTGACCTTACCCTACTGCCACTGCCCAGCTGTCAGGGATGATGAATCTGCCGAATACCTGGCCTGGCCCGACTCGGGAGGCTACCAGCATTCCCAGGGGTGGGGCGGGGTGGGGTGAGGTGGGGCGGGGCCAGTGTGTGTACCTGCTGGTTTGGAGAAGGTGCTGCTTCGCTTTTGAACTCTGTTAAGGGACACTTGCACAAGGGGACCCTAGAAGAAGAGAGAGGTCATGATGGTGATGAGAAGTGTCAATGAGGCAGCATTCCTGTTTGAGGTTCCAGGAGAGGCTCCCAGGGCATTCAGGCTTGACCCTCTTGCTGTTCACCATTTTGCCTATTGGCTTCAGGCGGGTGGGAAGTCATCCGAGGTACCCACAGACTCCTCGGAGTCCCCTGTGCCCAGCTGTTTCCTGCAGGAGAGCCCATTTGGTTTGTGGATGACTCATCTTTCCTAGCTGCTTCTTTCCAAATTGTACTAGGCCATCAAGCCGGCTGACCCGAGTACTGCCTGTCCCCAGAAGTTAGAAGCACAGCTGCTGACAGGGTTCTGGTGAGGTTCCCCATGCTGGCTCTGACGGGAGCCTCCCCGACTGAGTAAGGCACAGCTGTCTGCCAAGAACCCTCTTCTGCACAGGCTGTTTGGTGCTCCTCCTACACCTGCCCCAGAATTTTATTCCCAACAAAGGGCCTGGACCCTGTGGCTGGTGTTTTTAGGTCTCTCAGGGGCTGGCCCTGGCTCCTGGCCCCATAGGGCCTGGCATATGCAGGAAACCCTTCGATGTCTGCACAGAGGCTGGGAGGGGCTCTGTGCTGGATGTGGCTAGAACAGAGCCTGTGGGCTCTCACCTTGACTTCCACGTGGGTGGTGGGTGAGGGTTCAGGGAGGGCTCACTGGTCAGGGAGCTGTACAGTGCGAGGCCAGGCTTAACCCAAGTTGGGTGTTCTGACTTGCTGAGCTGAGTTGGCCGCACCGGATAGTGTGTCTTAATCTGACCAGGGCACATTGAGCGAGCAGGCCACCAGGGGTGGGGATTGGAGCTTGGTGCAGCCCCTTCCCTCCACCCCTGTACCCGACTGGCACTGTGGCTAGGTCTGAGACTGGACTCCAGGTCTCCTAGGTCCCTGTCTGTAAGAGGGGCCAGCCTGGGGGCTTTGGCTCATGTGCCTGTCCTCCGCAGGTCACCAATGAGGTCATGCCGGTGCTGTCCTACTCCTACCTGGTGGTGTTGGTGCCAGTCTTCCTGCTCACTGACTACCTGTGCTACAAGCCAGTGCTGGTGCTGCAGAGTCTGAGTTACATGTCCTTATGGCTGCTGCTGCTCTTCGGCCACACTGTGCTGCACCTGCAGTTCATGGAGTTCTTCTACAGCGTCACCATGGCTGCCCGCATCGCCTACTCCTCCTATATCTTCTCCCTTGTGCGCCCTGCCCGCTACCAGCGCATGGTGGGCTACTCTCGGGCTGCCATACTCTTGGGTGTCTTCACCAGCTCTGTGCTGGGCCAGGTGCTCGTCTCAGTGGGCCGAATCTCCTTCACTACACTCAACTACATTTCCCTGGGTTTCCTCACCTTCAGTCTACTGCTCACCCTCTTCCTGAAGCGCCCCAAGCGCAGCCTCTTCTTTAACCGCAGCACACCCACAGACCATGCTACCGTGCCCTCTGAGCTAGACCACATGGCTCCAGGTGGCCCCAACAAGCTGGCGGGTGGCAAGCTCGGACTCACACTGCTGGCAGCCTCACGGAACTCGGTGCCTGTCCGCATGCTCCGTGAGCTGGGTGCCAACCTGCGACTGCCACAGCTACGCCTCTGGTCCCTCTGGTGGGTCTTCAACTCTGCTGGCTACTATTTGATCGTCTATTACGTGCACATCCTGTGGAATGTGGTGGACGCTACCAGGGACAGCTCTGTGGTCTACAACGGCGGGGCAGATGCAGCCTCCACTCTACTGGGTATTAACACCATCCCATGGACCTGCTGTGACCTGCCACCTCCACAACCCTGGAAGCCCCATAATGAGCTGTAGACCATAGGCAACCCTGCCTCCCCAGATGACCCCAAGGCACCCCATAATGCACTGTCTCCCCCAGGTAACCCTGGAGGCCCTCTAACACGCTGTCTCCCCCAGGTGCCATCACCTCCTTTGCTGCAGGCTTCGTGAAGATCCGCTGGGCCCTGTGGTCCAAGTTGGTCATTGCAGGTGTCACAATTATCCAGGCCGGCCTTGTTTTCCTCATGTACAGCACTAGCAGCATCTGGGTCTGCTACACCACCTTCGTGCTCTTCCGTGGGGTTTACCAGTTCCTGGTGCCTATTGCCACGTGAGTCAGACATGGGTGGGCAGGTGGGGTTGGGTGAGGCCCACCAACTCTGATGCCCCTGCCCTCATCTGCTCCAGCTGTTCCAGAGCCAGGCTAGCCATGTGTAGGATAGACACAATGTCCTCCTGTTGGCTAGGTGACTGGCAGGCATCCACGTGTAGGAAGGTGGCTTCTGAAACATGGGGTATCGTTGGGGGGTGTTGCCATGAGGAGCTGGGCCCTGAACCTGGAGACTTCCTACTGTGCCTGGCACAGCTGCTTGGTGTCAGAGGGCTCCCCGGTGGGTATGGGGTAGGGACACCAGAGACCAGGAGCAGCCTCACCCCAGTGGCCCTGCAGGGCTGCCTCAGCAACATTTCCGGGCTCAACTTCATGCTAAGGTTCTGCTTGGATGTCACGGAGCCCTCTTTCTCAGCCCTTTTGACTGTTCCCAAGCCCCCCAACCTCTGGCTGGAAGCATCCGTGCTGTCACTCTCAGGCGGAGGTCCTTCCTTCTCTTGTCCTGCCCCTGCCTAGGAACAGGGCTCACTGCCAGACGTAACTGCTGTACTGGCCTGTCTCTGCCCCAGGGCTCTCCCCATGTCCAGTGTAACTCAGGAGCCTCCTGTTTCACCTGCACCCCCAATATCCAGAGATACCCTGTGTTGCTTCCTGACTGACTCCACTTTCCCAGGGTGTGTGCCTACACATTCCACTACCCTTGCACTTTCCTTTTTACTTGACCTTTTGTTACACCATATTGTGCTCCCAGCCTGTCACCCTGGGTACTCAAACCAGGAGCCCCTGATTGAGCCTGTCCACTTACCCCAGCACTGTTTCTGAAATCTCTGACCAAGCCAGAGTGGTGTGGAACATGCACACCTGGGTGCACATGTGTACATAGACACATTCAGTGTGTATGTATTCATGCACATATATCGGTACCATGCACATGCACGATACACTTGGGTGTACACAATGTGCACACATGTATGTGCACACACACACTGTCCACACATGCAGCATACATGCACAAGGCCCTGGCCCCATACACTTTCTCTAGCCTCTGCTTAGACTCCTGCTCCCACCTCTCCATCCATTGAGTGCCTAGTCACCCATTCCATCCCACTCTCAGGACTTTGGTTCAAGCTTGCCTCCCTCCCCACATGGACTGTCCCCATGGGGTACCCTCTGTACCTCACAACCATCAGAATGGCTCTTCCTGAGTTTGGGAAGAAGTGTCTATAGGCTCCTGGCCACCCAGAGCTGCCTCAGATGTGAGGTCTATATTGCTTTGAACCAGCATTATTTCTGTCTTCTGAAAGGCCAAGCACTGCCTGGAACAACCTCCCCCTCTACACCTCCTCTACACACATGGCCACACTCATAGGCTGCATATTGTCCCCACCTTGGTACTGCCGGGTGATGTTTCCCTGCTGAAGACCCACCCCAGTACCAATGTTATTGACCTGCCCTCCAAAAAGCCTTCTCGGGGACTACACAGCCCCTCCCAGAGCTCACCCAGCTCTATGCTCCACCCCAAACTTGACCTGCTGCCTCCCCCTGTACCTTACCCCACTTTTACCTGTTTGTTGTTATACCTTGTTGTGCATTTGGAACAAGTCCGTTCCAAATCATAATGACTCTGTACAACTGTCTGGTCCTGTGTCATCCTCACAATTGTTTTAGCCCACTGTGTTGCAGTCCCTGAGTCAATCCAGTACAATGAGGGTCTTCTTTACCAAGCATGATGTCCTTCTCCAGGGACTGGTCCCTTCTGAGAACATGTCCAAAATCACCATCCTTTGTTATTAAGTGCTGTCGAGTTGCTTCGGACTCATAGGATTTCCAAGGACTGGCTGGTAGGTTTGAACTGATGACCTTGTGGTTAGCAGTCCAGTGCTTATCCTACAGTGCCACACCCCAGGACTCCCCACCATCTTGTAAATGTCTCAAAAAGGCATGCCCCTCAGTCTGGCCTTCTCGTACCTAAGGGCCTATCCACCATTGCTGCTTTCCATTCTCTTCACCTGCTAGAGTAAAGCCATGAATGGTTTGTCAATTACAAAAGTCACCTGGGCCCATTGCAGAACCGCCCAAGTTGATGCAACAAAGCTCCTGCCCAGGGTCCTCACATTGGCGCTACAGTGTGGGGGTCTCTCCTGGCATTGCAGACATCTGGTCCCATGGACATTCCTGCTGTTCCACTCACCATATGCAGTTTTTTTTTGTCAAATGCAGATGCAGTGGGACTGACATATCACTTTGTTTAGTTCCCGAGGGCTGGTGAAGTTGAGTTCTGTATTCTCCCATAACGAGCAGGACTTGGAATAGCCTCACACTTTGTAGCTTTCATTCCAGCTTCTCACAGGGACCCTTAGGTGAACTCCTAGAAGGAAATGACTGGTCAAAGGACATGTGCCCTTGAAAGGGGTTTCCAATGAACAGTGTAGACTTCCCACCTGGCCCCAGGTGCTCTGGGGTCTGCTTTTGTAAAGTTAAGGAAGACTCTTGCTGTGTCCTTCATGAGCTTCTGTTTTTAAATTATATTTTGTTAGTTTTTTAGTGAAAGTTTACATGGCAAATTGTTAAGTGCCATCGAGTTGGTTGCGACCCTGTATAGGGTTTCCAAGGAGTAGCTGGTGAACTTGAACCACCGACCTTGCAGTTCAAACCGACTTTGCAGTGCTGTACATTAACCTACAGCACCACACCAGGACTTGGTGTTGAGCATAATGCTCAAGAGAACCTGATAGCATAGTTGGCTACACGTTGGACTGCTAACCACTGGTCAGCAATTGAAATCCACCAGCATAAAGATGAGGCTTTCTGCTCCCATAAAGATTTGCCACTTCAGAAACCCCATGAGTTACTGTGAGTCCAAACCGACTTGGCAGCACACAGCCGCCACTACCGTACATATTACTCAGAGACATTGTTTATATTTTCCACAATGTGCCAGAATTCTTATTTCCATTCTGCCTAGTCTGTTTCCATGAATCTAACTTCTCTGCCCCCTTATCTTCTCATGGTTGCTTCAGGGTAAATATTGACACTTTGGTTTTATAGGGATAGATGATTATTTAAAGGAACATGGTACAGGTAAAACTGGATTTTCTGAGCCAATCTATTAATTGGGTTAAAAGATGACCTGTGTAAGGGGCTTAGTAAGCGTTATGATTTCATGTTTGTGACTGGCCAGTTCATGTCTGTGTCTTTTTCTACTGGGAATCTCTATTTATTGACGGTGACTACAATACTCTTACCTATTGGAATGTGGAGCCATTGGTCCTGCAAAGTTGTCTCCAACTCATGGTGAACCATATGTGCCAAGGTAGAACTGTGTTCCACAGGGTTTTCTATGGCCGATCTTTCGGATATGATTGCCAGGCCTTTCTCCCAAGGCACCTCTGGTAGACATGAACTTCCAACCTTTGTGTTCCTACCTGAGCGCTTAGGAGTTTACACCTCCCAGAGACTCCATTAGAATGAGGATAACTTGTTGCAGCTGCCTCCTTATGTTGTGGTTTGCCTTTACTTTCACATATGGTGATTGTGGGCCATGTGAAGCTTGTGTGGGCTCCACGTCCTGTCCCAGGTTGGAGTCAAGGGGCTGAGAGCAGTGGCAAGACCTCAGGTCAGCTCTGTTGCCCTGGCCCTTTCTCCCTGGTTTGCGTGCTTGCTTCATCATATATTAAATTCCTGGCTGTGCTAGCTTCTACTTGGGCTTTCTCTTCTGTTCTGCTGACCTGTTTACTGTGGCGTTTCAGTCACTTAGTATTGCTTTTCCTCTGGGCCACTCTAATAGCAGCATGATGATCTAACAATAAAAGTCCTCTATCCTCACATCATTCCGTTGGAACGGTAGAACATTTTTTTATCCACTTATTTTAAAGCCCTTTGGAGATTTTAATTGAAACTACACTAAGATGTTATTGTACTTTGCAGAGGGCTGGGAGCTGTAACATGTTGATTTTTTCTTGTTGGGATTGTGGTCTTAATGACAAAAGACTAGTTCAACATTGTGATGGTTACCTGCCCCACAGGTTTTGCTAATATCCTGTTCTTCGGATTATTATTGTCTGAGAGTTTTATAACGATTTTGATTAACTCTGCTTCCAGAGTTAAGTAGGAGATTTTTTTAGCATTTCATAAGAGAGGTTTTTTTGTTTTGTTTTCTTTGAAGCTTTTATTGTGAATTGAATGATATGGGAGGGCATCAGTTTTGCACTCATCGTATTTTGTTTCATTTGCAATGATTACAATCCCCTGTATGCATCATCAGTTAGCAGTATTTGCTTCTATCCCCCTTTTCTTTTTTATGTATACAAAAACACTCAGGAATATGTAATCATTTAAATAATCAGAGGGCACATTCTGCAAGCCAGCTTCCTGGCTATGAGAACACAGCCTTTCTCTTTCCATGAGTCTAGAGTCCTCAGCTGCTCAATCTGTCCCTGCCATCACTTCTGCCTCCATCTCTGGTGTCGCTGATTCTCTGGCTAGGGTTCTGTGTTCCGCTCATGCTCTTTTCTCTTGATGGTTTTAGGGTCCTCTGTTCCTGGAATGTAAGATTAACTACTTCCCTGCTTTTTGTTATACATCTTCTACCTTTACAGTTGTGACAATCACAAGTAGTCATGATAATAGTTACTTACTATTGAATCAAAAGAATCCTATCCCCATCTCCTTTCATCAGACCCATCTAGATAAGATGAAAACTATTCAGTGGCTTTCCACCTTCCCCCGCACACTCTGGAACTAAACTCCCTCTTGAAAACTTGTAAGCCAGCAACTTCATGCCTTTATTGCCCTCCCCCCACCCCCACCCCCGCATAGTTTAGGTACATAATGACTAATTTGCCTGTCCCCATCAACCCTGTATACTGAGGGGATAGGCTTGATCCTTGGTGTGAAGACTCCTTTCCGTCTCAGTTGGTATTTTGAGCTACTACATCCATAAGTTTAGGTCAAGTTCATCAAATTGTAGCAATTTACACTTGTTTCCTTAATCAAATTTCTTTAGTCGAGGAATTATTGAATTCCTTTATCTTCCTCTGGTCATCAAGCCATTGAAACTAGGTAAAAGGAGTACTATGTGCAAGTATGGACATTCTTGTGCATGTCTCCACATGTCATATCAGCTGGACACTTCACTCTCAGCTGTAGCCTTCCATGGCTAGGTCAGTGTCAATGGGCTCAGGAATTCCCACGTTTCCCCAAACTTCAGACCAACCAGCCCTTCCTCTTCTCTCTTTCATCTAAAGGTCAGCAGGAATCTATGGATGGAATGTGGTTGAACTCAACCCATATCTTCATTACTTTCCCCTACTCCCATTCACATGTAGACCAGTGTGGTCACCAGTGAGCTTACATGCCTGCTCGTGTGTTCCCTTTGAGTTTCAGTCTTGGAGGAAGGTTTATTCTGAAGGGACTTTATTGATTGCCTTGATGGCTCCCCAACAAACAACTTGCTTGTTCTTGTAGTAGCCAATTAGACTGCCATTTTTGTTTTTTCTTGCTAGTCTTTCTTTCAGGATATATCTTCTGTTCCTCTAGCCACTCTAGGATGGTCTGCATGTCCTTTCAAGTGGGAATGTTCCACATAAGAAGGTTCTGGATGGGGCTGAGGATTCCACCTAAGGTCCTATAAACCACAAAGGCTCTGCAAGAAGCATATTTCATTGGGCAAGTTCTAGAACCATTTTTAGGTATTCTAATAAGTTATAGGCTGAAGGCGGGCTTACAAGTTTTCTGTAATCATGTTTCCCACCATTCCTTTCTATCTCACTTAAGTGTGTATTTTACAAGAATAGTCAAGGGAAACCAATATTCATAAGACAGTCAAGCATCTTAGTATTATTTCTCCTCTTCAAACTATGCCTAGACCCCTGTATCCCAGAGCCCTGTTGTTCCAAGGTTGAACGAACACGCATCACTATTTACCTCTGTCCCACTTAGGCCATGCAAACCTGTCTCAGTGTTTCCCGATCTACCTTGTTTTTCCACCTCCCCCCTTTTTGTATACGCCCCTCCCCAATACCTGAACTATGATATGTCTATCCCCTAACATGTGCTCTATTGTCCCCTTCCTCCTAGGGGAGGTTTTACAGTCATTTGATCAAGTTGTTGCACAGGCTGTGGCAGCCTGGAGCACATGCCCCTGGGCAAGTGGCCTGTGCTGTTGGAATCGTTCTCCTGGAGCCCAGTTGTTGCTGCTGAGCCCGCACGATATGCAGAGCTGTGTGTGGCAGATGGGCTGCATCTGGCAGTCATTTTTAATGGGGAGGCATTGGTCACCGCCTGAGTTAGGTTCCCACGTTGCACTTCTTGGTGTCTCTTATCTTTCCTTCATTGAATCCTGACTTTTGTCTACTTTTCCCCTTAAGGTTTCAGATTGCCTCATCTCTGTCAAAAGAGCTCTGTGCCCTGGTCTTTGGGATCAACACATTCTTTGCCACCGTCCTCAAGACCATCATCACCATCATTGTGTCTGATAAGAGGGGCCTGGGGCTCCCCGTTCGCTCACAGGTATGTTTTTCCAGGGAGTCAGTGGGGTCCCTTCCTGTGCAAGGCCCAGACCACCATGGCTCCACTTTGGGAGGGGGGTGTGCACAGTGTGGGTTGGAACATCTTCAGCTGGACATGCTGGGACTGACTGAATCAAAGCAGGAGTGATAGGTAACAAAGACAGACAGCAATTAAAAAGGCATTTACTTTTCTTCACCACATTGGTGAGGGAGGGATTCCTGTTCTAGGGTTATGTGGATGGCCAAATACATGACACTGACCCTGGAGAGATGAGAGCATAGCAGTTCATTGTTCACATAGATTCATGGTCCAGGGGAGGTCACCATACCACATAGGCCACATAGGTGCTACACTCGAAGCAGAGAGAGCAAGCAGGGGTGGTGGGAGGCAGGTGACCCCTTTGTGCAGTGGGACATGTGAGTTAGAAGCCTTCAGCCTAATACCTACCTGGCCCATAATTTGTGGGACTTATCAGCCTCCACAACTGTGTGAGTCATTTTCTTAAATCTTTATTTACAGTTGACCCTTGTACAATGCTGGGGTTAAGGGCAGCCCAGCATTTGTGCAGTTGAAAATCTGAGTATAATTTACAGTTGACCTATGAGCAACACGGGTTTGAATTGCATGGGCCCAGTTAGTTACGCGTGATTTTTTTTTTCTGCTGTCACTATTGTGGTAATTCAAGTGCTGAAGGGGTCTGCTCAAAGTGCCTCTCATATCAACTCAACATGAGTTGTCTTTCCAGTTTTAAGTGAATACTTGCAATACTTGAACTCACCACCAAATAGCAACAGGAAAAAGTCTCCATATAAGTGGGCCTACACAGTTCATACTTGTGTTATTCAAGGGTCAACTGTATTTGTAAGGAGCCTTGGCATAGTGGTTAAAGTGCTCAGCTGCAACCGATGAACCCACCAGCCACTCCTCAGTAGACAGATGTAGCACTCTGCTTCTGTAAAAACTTACAATCTTGGAAACCCTATGGTGCAGTTGTTTGTCTTCTAGGGTCATTAGGAGTCCACATCTACTCAACAGCATAGGCTGTATATAAAGAAAGTTCGTGAAAAAATTCCATTATCTTTCAATTCCAGTATATGGAGCACAGTGGCTTCGGATGATAAATACTGGACTGCGAACCACAAGGCCAGTGGTTTGAGCTTACCAGCTGCTCCATGGGAGACGGATGAGACTTTCTGCTCCTGCAAAGATTTGACACCTCAGAAATCCTATACTGGGTCGCTGTAAGTCGGAAATGACTTGACGGCATGTAATAATAGCAACAACATATATATGTATATATGTATGTGTGTGTGTATACATATAATTATATGTATATATATACATACACATTTTGCTGAAGGTAATTAATACAGAAACGGCTGCAATCATACATTGACAGAGAACTTCCAGAGGTTCAAGCTGGATTCAGAAGAGGCCGTGGAATGAGAGATATCATTGCTGATGTCTGATGGATCTTGGCTGAAAGCAGAGAATATCAGAAGGATGTTTACCTATGCTTTATTGACTACACAAAGGCTTTCGATTGTGTGGATCATGACAAGCTATGGACAACATTGCGAAGTATGAGTATTCCAGAACACTAATTGTACTTCTGAGGAATCTGTACCTGGACCAAGAAGCAGTTGTTCGAACAGAGCATGGGAACACTGAATGTTTTAAAATTGGGAAAGGTGTGCGACAAGGTTGTGTTGCACCGTATTTATTCAACCTGTATGTTGAGCAAATAATACGAGAAACTGGGTTCTATGAAGAAAAATGTGGCATCAGGATTGGAGGAAGACTCATTAACAACCTGCAATCTGCAGATGATAACAACCTTGCTTGCTGAAAGTGAAGAGGACTGGAAACATTTACTGGTGAAGATCAAAGAGCACAGCCTTCGGTATGGATTGCATCTCAATGTCAAGAAAACAAAAATCCTCAACACTGGACCAATAAACAACTTTCTTATCAACAGAGAAAAGATTGAAGTTGTCAAGGACTTCATTCTTCTTCGATCCACTATCAACATTCGCAGAAGAAGCAGTCAAGAGATCACATGACACATTGCATTAGGCAAATCTGCTGCACAGGAACTTTTAAAAGTGTTGAAGAGCAAAGATGTCAGCTTGAGGACTAAGGCCTGACCCAAGCCATGGTATTTTCAATAACCTCATATAGATGTAAAAGCTGGACAGTGAATAAGGAAGATCATAGAAGAATTGATGCCTTTGAGTTATGGTGTTGGAGGAGA